TTTTATTATTTCTACTGTATATCGGGGAATGTTATAATAAATTTACATAAATTCGTTTTATAACAAAATGGCAGACCAAATTTCATACGTATAAGCTTACGTATATATTTTTTTCGGCTAATATATAACAATGAAAGATAAGAGTAACGTATTAACAAATAAAAAAAGCCGAAATTATATCGAAAAGTGGCACATCTTTAGAGGCTGGAAGCACAGGTGTAAGGTTTGTGACGAATGTAATCATCATTCACACCTATATTGTAAGACCTGTAAAAAAGTAGCGGATGGAATATATAAGCGATGTGAATGTGAAAATTCTCGAATAATTAATGTTAAATAACAATAAATCGCCCCATATTAATAGCCAGTAGTATATTGCTTTGTTATATAATTCGGTTTAAGAAATTTTTACAATAATAAAGCTGTATGTAGGAGCTAGACGATTCAACCATTTTCTAGAAAATTATGCAGTGGTTGTAGCTCTTATCAAGAGACCCGCACTTTTGGGGGTCTCCTGCCTAATTCATGAAACTACGAAATAAATTAATACTGGGACTCATATGGAATCCGTGTATCCCCTCCCTTCATACATTTCATTCGCTTTCTAATCATTAATAAAGTTTCGTCCACTTCAGGCATTTGCATCAAATTTTTGGAGGCTTGAAAATTATCGAGAAGCAAAACGTGACTTTTGCAACTTAGTTGTAGATCCTATTTATAGCGCGTGATCATAAGCTAGGCACGCGTCTGATTTATAGATACCTTTACACTCAACATTTTAACATTTATCCAATATTTTCGCCAAAAAAAAAAAACATTACTGTAATGCTCAAAAAAAAGGTGAACTTTTCAACAATAACGTGATACATGGTCATACTATAGTCGCCTTAGTTTTTAATTTCTATTCCTTTTTCTCGTCTTAAGATTCAAAATTTATCACTTCAGTTTGAAGGATGGGAATTTGCTTTGAGCCCTGATCAATTTAACCTTGTTTCGATCCTCAAATTCCGTCGTATGAAAGATGACTTCACGTACAAGAAGAGTGTTGAGCATGCTGAAATATTTAAGTTTGTATTGTACATTGCGGAAACAGCAACTGATAAAAAATGGAAAGAAGTCGCTTCAGCTCTCAAAGAAAATGAAATGATTAAAGTAAGTGCTTCAAAATTCTGTATTAAAGAGAAAGGTCTGGATAGAGATGGAATTGGACGATGTCGAAACAACCACCTAAGCGGTCAGACGCGGTCAGGCTAGTTATGGGGGCTCCCCGGTGGGTTCCATTTTAAGTCTGCATGAAGACTAGAGACGCGGTCTCTTTATCAAGAACGTTGTTCGTTTGCAGTCCCTAATAATCTGTCAGCTCCTGAAGCCTCATTTTTTTTGTTTCTAAACTCAATCATTTTATTTTCTCAAGCGCCAAACGCAGTGGGAGGAAGTTAAATTATTCTGGAATATTGTTGAAAACGAAAAAGTTGACTTAGATGAACGTTTGTTGAAAAAGAAGTTGGAGCAAGCCAAGGTATGTTCGACACATATATACTAAGTTTCAATCTTCACAATAACCATGCGACCTTTTGTTGGCAGACCCAGTTTATTGTTGATCGTTATGTGTCAGGGAATGAAGCTCATGTGATCGCAGACAAGGCAAAATTAGATTATATGTTGGCCCTTGACTCTCCTAGTGTTCTTACAATACCACCATCCGATACTTCTTTCAAAACACCACCACTCGATACTTTTCTCACAACACCACCACCCAATACTTCTCTTACAACACCAGGAAATAAGGCCAATACTGTCTTGAACGAGAATCAGAAGGATAAACCAATAACTGGAAGTAAGCGAAAATATCCAAATGAGGAATCAACTCTGTCAACTCCGTCAACTCCCCCAAATAAGGTTGGGACATAACTTAATTTTAGTTGTCATTCCGCTTTTCTCCTCAAATTATTCATTTGCCTTTATCATTATCTTCTGAAAATTTACTATCAAGCATGCAAGTCCACCAGAAAGCTGGATTCGCTCAAAAGTAAGTCCATAATGACCAGTAATTATCATCATAGTGAGACACTTATTCTAACCTTTGTGATTAGGAGAAGAGTAATTCTGGAAATATCTTTCCCAACATCCTTCCCAATGGTACAATACTACAAGAACCACCACCAGCACCAGATTTCATTTCGTTATATGAAGATGAGGATGATAATCCATTAATGGTAGATAATGATAATGACGAAGATATTCCTACCTTGGATAATGTTCTTTGTTCTTCCCTGCCAACTAATATACAGAATTGGAATTTGTCCTCGGGAAAACTTGTTAAAGACATTTTTGCTAAAAATTTATCTCAAAGAAAATGAAATGATTAAAGTAAGTGCTTCAAAATTCTGTATTAAAGAGAAAGGTCTGGATAGAGATGGAATTGGACGATGTCGAAACAACCACCTAAGCGGTCAGACGCGGTCAGGCTAGTTATGGGGGCTCCCCGGTGGGTTCCATTTTAAGTCTGCATGAAGACTAGAGACGCGGTCTCTTTATCAAGAACGTTGTTCGTTTGCAGTCCCTAATAATCTGTCAGCTCCTGAAGCCTCATTTTTTTTGTTTCTAAACTCAATCATTTTATTTTCTCAAGCGCCAAACGCAGTGGGAGGAAGTTAAATTATTCTGGAATATTGTTGAAAACGAAAAAGTTGACTTAGATGAACGTTTGTTGAAAAAGAAGTTGGAGCAAGCCAAGGTATGTTCGACACATATATACTAAGTTTCAATCTTCACAATAACCATGCGACCTTTTGTTGGCAGACCCAGTTTATTGTTGATCGTTATGTGTCAGGGAATGAAGCTCATGTGATCGCAGACAAGGCAAAATTAGATTATATGTTGGCCCTTGACTCTCCTAGTGTTCTTACAATACCACCATCCGATACTTCTTTCAAAACACCACCACTCGATACTTTTCTCACAACACCACCACCCAATACTTCTCTTACAACACCAGGAAATAAGGCCAATACTGTCTTGAACGAGAATCAGAAGGATAAACCAATAACTGGAAGTAAGCGAAAATATCCAAATGAGGAATCAACTCTGTCAACTCCGTCAACTCCCCCAAATAAGGTTGGGACATAACTTAATTTTAGTTGTCATTCCGCTTTTCTCCTCAAATTATTCATTTGCCTTTATCATTATCTTCTGAAAATTTACTATCAAGCATGCAAGTCCACCAGAAAGCTGGATTCGCTCAAAAGTAAGTCCATAATGACCAGTAATTATCATCATAGTGAGACACTTATTCTAACCTTTGTGATTAGGAGAAGAGTAATTCTGGAAATATCTTTCCCAACATCCTTCCCAATGGTACAATACTACAAGAACCACCACCAGCACCAGATTTCATTTCGTTATATGAAGATGAGGATGATAATCCATTAATGGTAGATAATGATAATGACGAAGATATTCCTACCTTGGATAATGTTCTTTGTTCTTCCCTGCCAACTAATATACAGAATTGGAATTTGTCCTCGGGAAAACTTGTTAAAGACATTTTTGCTAAAAATTTATCTCAACATACTGAAATGTTAAAAAATAAAAAGAAGCTGACTGCAGAAGAGAAAGCAACTTTAAGATATGGAGTATCAAGAGTTATTGATCTTTCAGCTCATATGCGAGTATGGTTTACTGAAACTGAACGTCAGGATATGATGAAAGATCATGAAGAAATTCTCAAAGTTCCCGAATTGACAAAAGACATTAATGAGTTCATTGCAAAGGTGGAAAAAGTAAGTATACAATATGAATGTATTTAATATTATCTTACACATTTAAATTTATTTTTTTACTGGTACATAGATGATAAAGGAAGGCGATGCTAATGGGGCATATAAATATTGTCTTAATCAGCATGCAGATGCATCCGTCAATACGTGTTTTTACAAAATAAGTAAAATATATGGTGATTTGTGAGTATTTTCTTATATTCATTTTATCGTCTGTACTTGTCATTATTATCTTTTTTAATTGCACATGTAGTCTCTACAATATTAAAGATGGAAATGATCTTTTATATTGTGGCGGTGAGCATCACACCGAAATTGATGTTATTGTAAAAACATGTTCTTACATTGTCAATGGACTGCAGAATGGAACTGAAATACATTGTAAATGGTAAATAAATAAATAATATCTTTTTGATCTTTGCAAGCGTATGAATAATGAATATTTTTGTTCATAAGGGGAGAGTCTTTTTGTCCTTTAAGCCAGTCCGCTAATTATGAAAGAGGTAGGAAATGTGATGTCCGATTTTTAAGTCATACGGGAATAGATCTTGGTGAATGGGAGTTTTCCGCTCAAGCAACTCCAACTAAAGCAATCGAAGATCGTTGTCGCCCAGCTAGGATAAACCAATCCATCTTAAATGGCCTGTTGAGCAGAGATTTAACTGACGCACAAACGGGTATTATCAAGGTTCCATATTTACAAATTGCAGGTGTCTTTGGACAACTATTGGTAGAAGACTTGGTAAATGGTTTCTATGTCATTTATCCGGGACCAATATTTGAGATACCAACAAGATTGAATCACATTAGAAAATTAAAATCGGTGATAATATCTTTTAAGCATATAATGGTAAGCACTATAAGTTGGTTGATTGAAATGCGCATAACCAACCATCCCCATATGATTTTTTTTACTATTTTGACATCAAAGAAAATGACGTAATATTTAATAATTTATACAGGAAATGTATAAAGAAGTCAACGAAATACTTGATGAGTTAAACCATAGTCGGAACTTACTTGAAGATATTTTCAAAGTTGATGGCGTTAGATCATTACGACACAATTCATACAAATCAGTGTTCATCCATAAACCATGGTGGACACCAAAGAGCAAATCTCAAAAATCTCAAGTATTAACTGCAATTGAAGAGATGAAAAAATAGTAGCTAGTATTTATTTCATGTAATAAATGAGAAGGACAATGACGATCTTGAATATTATTAAGGCTAATAACAAATAAGAGAACCGTTGCGCTTATTATTTTTTAATCTTATAATAGCTAGTATGCAATTTATTGGCATTAGTATATTCTTATCATGTATTTTTTAAATGTAACAAATTTCATAGCGATAACAGATAGGCAAAAATTAATAAAATTTTTTCTTGGTAAAAAAACCGGGATAAATTTGTCACGATCAGCCGACATAGCTCAATTTTTTACTTAACTGTTTCTATATACAGTATATTAACGAGCTTCTGAATATTTCTGTTCTTGTATATAATTTATCGAACATGTCAAACGCTCAATCTAACGATTCATTAAGAGAATTAAATGCCAAGCTCTTAGTTGAGATTACTGAGCTTAGGAAGAAGTTTGCTGAGATTAAGGTCGAGAATGACAAGCTTAAGGATAAGAATGCTGAGATCGTTGCTTTTAGTGATAAGATCGCTGAACTTGAGGCTGAGAGAACTGAACTTAAGGCCAGGATTGCCGGGCTTCTAAGACAGTCTGTGGAAGAGAATAAGATGCGTGATGCTGAGAATGCCAAACTTAAGGCAAGAATCGAGGAGTTGAAATCTGAGAATGTTGAGTTTAGAGATAGAATCACGAAAGTGGAACAGAGGCAGTTGCAAAATGATAACATTACTAAGGTAACCAATTCTCCTAATAATAGTTCATCTAACTTCAATTCGATTACAGATCAGTTACCTATGGTAACGCATTATGATAAGGAAATAAATACTTCATTATCCAAAGAACCGATACCAGAGGAGATATCCGTGTTAGCTGTCAAGCTCAGTGGAGTAAATGGTGCAGTACCGGAGGTGATAACGGTACCTGCCAACTCTAAATCACCAGAGGAAAAAGAAATGGATAAATTCTTGGACAAGGCACATAAGAAAAGCGTTAGTGATGGGATAAGAAAACGCAATAAGGAGAAGAAACTTAGCAAAGCAGAGCAAGCATCTCTTAACCAAGATCAAGAATCTGATACTGAGTGCT